GGTCGACTCACTCCGCTTCGCCTCGCTCCCCTGCCTCCGCCGCTACAGGTACCAGCTCCCCAGCTCCCCAGCTTCCCAGCTTCCGGGCTGCCATGCCTCCTGTGTCAGAGCCCAACGGATAGATGCACATCTCACCGCTTCTCGAAGACGGGCGCTGCTGCTGGCCGTAACCGAATGTGTGGCTGAGGGCACTTGACAATCTTCCGCCGCACAGCAATGCCGCACACACAGACAGCCGGCGTTTAGTTGGCATTCACCGTCATCAGCCGTCCTGCTTTTCCGTCGGCCCCACGCCGATCCCGGAATCAACCACCGGAGATGTTGGCGCCCGAAACTTTGTGTGCCCACATTCATCACCTCTTGATGGGCTTCCAGACAGCCAGACCAGCACATCGTCTTGGTCCTATGCGCTAGAACGGGATGGTCAGCAGCCGCCCTTAGTCTCCTGGAGCAGCATCAAACCCCCAAGGCTCATTCCGCTCGAAGAGCCCCCGGATGATGATTCTGCCGCGGTGCACATACCGGGCAAAAGTGTGTAGTGAGAGGACAAGAGTCACAATCACACAATCGTACCGTCACAATAGACAACGCAACAAAGAAGGTTGCCTCCCAAATGGGAGGTGCTCTACCGGGAAGCCATATGCCGCTGGATATCACTACCTAGTTCAACATCCGTCCTGCTTCCGCCCTATTTCCCACCAGAAGATAGTGGTGTCACCAATTCTACATTGGCTCACGGAGCAGAAAGCATCTTCAACCAACGGCTCGTATCGTTGGCGTGTGTGTGCTGAATCCGAAGGTCCAACATCCCGGGCCGTCACTTTCTGTTGGGGAATGACTGCCCGCCGCCGGCCTGTCAAACCATCATCCGCCGTCTGTCATTGGTAGCGCTTCTCCAACACACAAAACCACTGGTGCTGACCGGCAGTCCATCCGAACCAATATCACGGGTGGCGCAACATCGTCATGCAATCACATTGGATGCATCCAACTTCGACCAGCTGTTGGGCTATTGTCTGGTCCCTTTCTCATGTCTACTCGCTGACAGCCTCCCAAATCCATACCAATAACACATGGACCCGGAGTTGTTGCAACTACTGTATCGGGGACGACGTTCGGCTTCTGCTTAGCGGACATGATTCGCAACCGATCTTGGTGGTGTAACAGTGTTCGGTCCGTGGCTGCAAACTCCTTGTTCCTTGGGGTCAAAAAGGTAAAAATCCGCATTGGGCTTGACCGTCTCGTGTGAGGGCGAGGTACGGCTGACAATCTGACTCTGCTGTCACACTCCCACACCTCGTCTCACCGGCTTGCTTCCCCAACCAATCCAAGCCATCGGTGTCGGTGTCTTGCAGCTTTTCGCGGGGTGACCATGCTAGCAAATTTTCTAGAAGGCTTCTAGTGCGGACTAGAGAAGCACCCATCACGAGTCATTCTGAAGGTAAAGTCTTCCGCTTCTCACGGAGGCGTGGGAGGCTCTGCTCAAGCTTCGTCTGATAGCAGGATGTCGTCATGTTCAGTCCTTGGTGGCGTTCGCAAGTCATGTTGAAGCATCATGTGGGACGAGGTTTTGAGAACCCAAAACCCACGGAGGGCGATTGGCGTTCCAGCCCCCCTTGAGTCGTGAAATCCTGAGCGTCGGATGCACCACGCAAACACATACACCAGTGCAGGGACATTGTTGCCAAGAAAGCCGTTCCTGTCTCTCGAACAAAGACATGCCAATATGGCATTCCATGTCGATCCACACGTCATCCGGCTGTCAGTGTGATTTCCTCCCTCACGGATGGTCTCAGGTGATATGGCGATGGACGTCAACTCCATTGTTCGAACCTCCTAGTATGTCTGCTCGGGAAGCTCCGCGCTAAAAACCTGAAAGCTTGCTTTCGGATATTCCTGCAGAATCAGGCAAGCAAAAACGACGCGAAGAGCGCACGACTTTAGGTCGTGAAAGATCCCTGGCGGCGCAAAGATGGCAAGCATGCTGCCATGACAAAAATACGCATGCCGAAGCGCTCACCCTTCTGCCTGTATAGAGCTTCATCTACGGTCAGAGGAAGCCTCGAAACATGAACGGCCCGCAGATGTTTGATAAAATCGAGATGAAGATGTCAAACCACCCATCAGAGCCGTGCTATTTTTTGCCGTGCTTGGCGGAGGTGTTCAGCTGTCTAGGAATGGTCTGCCGCTGACATTTGCCACAGGCATCGGACCGCGTTTGGACCCCAATGCCAGAGAGAGCCGATAAAGTCAAATTATCCGATGTAAAAGAAACAATTTATCGAACTGAAAACAGAAGGGGACGCCATGTACCGCACGCTAGAACCCCGTGTTCGTCCGTGAGTTCGCTGGGTACAAGATTCACGTTCAGACCATCCCCAGATTTTGACTGAAACCCGGGGCAGTGGCGTCGGCGCCTCTCCGCGTCCACCTCGGGAGCAAATTCGCGAATGGGTTAACGGCGGAAAACCGTTCACGCGCAACCAGTCGGATCCGCGTCACTAGCGAGTCAGCAGGAATCGTCGATTTTTGCCACTAGTAATGTGAGTGCCAGGCGTGCCAGGCTCGAGCCAGGCACATGGCTTAAGACGCAGGGAGGCACATCGTGACATCAGTTCCTTTGTTGAAACTATACGGGCTGCAATTGAGTTTCCTCAGTTGATCGTCGGGGCCTCGCAACGTGAATGGCATGATTCGAGATCATCAAAATTGATCTTCATGTCTTTGATACACCACGGCTGGTACAGATACATAGGCTCGGGTCATGACGCACACGGTTGTCAACTGGTAGGGCTGAGCTCCAACTAGCTCAGCGCAAAAGGGGGATGGGTCGCGGCCAAAACGCGGCGCCCAAAGAGTCTACCGGAGCCTAGCAGTAGTCGCCCCCAAGTCGCCGAAGCTGTCACGGCAGTTGGGTCCTCGAAACACTTGGTTGCTGAACTCGACGCAACGGCTTCTTCGACGCACACACACACAGACCGCAAGCAATAACACAGACAGTAAAACCCTAGGATTAACCGATTGACCCGCTCCACCGTTTTGGTCGGCTTCCGACGACCGTTTCCCTCCCCCCGGGTGCGACTTGGAAGGGGCTGGTGGGAGGGAGCAGAGAGGCTCCAGATTTAGCTTTCAGGGTCCTTTGCTTCGGAGTCTCCTGATCCCAAGATGACGTCGTCACCCTGTGCCGAGTTTGAGGGCGCCCGGTGGTCGACAATCAGTTTCCCGGTTTACCAGATTTCCCAGATCCTAGATTCGAGCGAGATCTTGGAATCGCCCATCAACTTGAGATCATGGGGACCGTATCGACTGCGGGGTCCCTAGCCCCAGGGCTGTGGTGGGTGGTGGGACCTGGTTTCTGGGCCCGCCAAAACCCCCCTTGAGGTGGAGACTGGGAAGAAGCTGGTTATGTCACCCCGGGCCCGGCTCACGATGCCTTCAATCTCGGGTCGGACTTTGGCTTTGCTGAGGGAGCCACATTTGTGATGACGTCTTGACCCCCACCAATACCCTCCACGCTCAGCCATCTCCACCCCGACATATCGCGACCCGTCGGCTAAAGCTCAGCTCGGCACGAGGTCTGTGTACTGAACAACATGCCTGCGGTATCGTCGGCTGCTGACCCACTCGCCCTTGGCGAAACGGCGAGAGGGCAGTGAGAGAATCCGGGGGCCCTGAGCCGCGCCCCCTTTTTCCCCACCGCTGGAGCCTATTGACAACTACTCTCACAATAAGGCGAAACCAAGACCTGGGGCCCCGCGCTGGAAAATTGCGTCTTGAGCCCCGTGACGTGGCGGCCGAGTGGAAGGACATTTATCCCCTTAGCCCCAAGATATACTTTGACAGGCTGATGAGCCTAGCGAGAGCAGACAAAGGCGAGTAAGCAAGAAAATCTTGGCGGTCACGATGGACAGCGGGATCTTTGTCTAGCGATACTAGATGGTTACTTGGGGCCAAGCGTCTCCAATTCCGCGGGTGCAAGTGTAGTTGCGGGTAAATATGGTTCCAGTCGTGAGCAGGCTAGCAGTTCATTGTTGTCAACTGGTAGTATGTATCTCTGGAGCGGAAGGAGAGCTTCTCTACCCAGCTAGGGAAATTAGTGCCAGACGGACCAAGACTCGACTTGTTTGTGGAATAATATGCCACGGACAATATCCCGCTCTTAGGTTGGCTTTGGCTTGGGTGCTTAAGCTGTCACTGCCTTGGGAGCTCTATCAAGGTTTCGAGGCTCGCGGGCCGACGCCTCGCCAGACACCGCCGGCCTGAGCGAATTTTCTGCATTGGTTCATCAGAATGATATTCTAAACTTTATTCGAGATTTACATGCTGGTCTAACTGGAGTTGAGTTTTCGTGTCTGGTTTGAAGTGCTCTGCAAGGGCTACGGTGGAAAGTTAGAGGCTGCTGATAGTCGTACCAAGGCTGTCACAGAGAGAATGTCGACGTCAGTCACGGGGCAAGGCTACGCAAGTACAGCACATTGGCAGTCTGTGAGGTGCACGACACTTCCAGCCTTGTCAGCATAATCTAGCTTCGCCGAGGTTCATCAGTCATATATCTCCACGCATATCTTGTTAGGTCGGGTCTTGAATTGTCATGACATATGTGTTACAAATCTATTTCAGAAGACTCGACTTGCGAGTTGCCTCGCATAATAACCAAATTTTGTGCAGTCGTATTACTCAGACACGATCCTCGTGTTGATAGTGAATAATCATCTCGTAGTCATCTCGTAGTCAACCCATGTGCATAGGCTAAGTAATAGCTTAGTAACAGGTATAGCGTGCAGGGAAAATCGGGACAGCATCAAAGTCCTCATATTTTGGATCCGCAAATGCCTCAACTTTACCAATGACAAGTACCCCCCACGGAGCCACCTCTCGTCAACAGCCTCGCACTATTGCGCAGTTCCGGCGCCCTTACCTAGTAGACCCACTGCGTCTATCATCCACAGCCAAGCACATCCTCCACTGGTCTTAGTCGCGCGGGTTGTTATTTAAGGGCGATGGCGACGTACAGCGAGGAGCAGCTCGAGCTGTACCTCAAGCACATCAACTACCCGAGGAGCAAGCACCCGGCCGACAGGCTGCAGCTCCTGACGGGGCTCCAGAGGCACCACCAGGCCAGGGTCCCCTTCGACAATATCGCGCTGCACTACTCGCCCACGCGGCTCCTCTCGCTGGACCCGCAGGACCTCTTCCACAAGATCGTGACCAACAGCCGCGGCGGGTACTGCATGGAGGTCAATGAGCTGTTCGCGACGGTCTTGAGGACGCTCGGCTTCCGGCTCTATAGCTCTGGCGGGAGGGTGAAGCACGAGAGATTGTGAGGAACCGAGACCGACGGTACTGTCACAGAATGAGTGTACGTTGCTGATGTAAAACTCTCAGGAGCCACATGGTGAATTTGGTCACAATCGAGGGGAAGAAGTACCTAGTAGACGTCGGCTTCGGCGCCCAAGAGGCGACACGCCCCGTCCCCCTCGAGGACGGCCACGAGATCACCACCATCGCCCCGACGCGGGGCAGGCTAGAGCTGAAGCACCTCGACAAGCAGGCCACGAAAGGCGACCCGGCGCAGCGCCTGTGGGTGTGGTCGTCGCGGAGGAACGAGGGCGCCGCCTGGGAGGAGATGTACTCGTTCTCCGAGGCCGAGTTCTTCGCGGAGGACTTCGAGGTCATGAACTACTACGTCATGACCAAGCCGCAGAGCTGGTTCCTCCAGGCCGTCATCGCGTACCGGCCGGTCCTGGACCCCGGGACGGGCGAGCTGGTGGGTGAGCGGATTCTGCACAAGGATGTCGTCAAGGAGGGGGAGAGCGGGCAGAACCGCGTCTTGAAGGTGTTGAGGACGGAGGAGGATCGGGTCAGGGCGCTGGAGAAGTATTTTGATATTTGCCTGACGGAGAAGGAGAGGAAGGGTATTCGGGGGCTCGTGACTGAACTTAAAGGGTAAAAGGGCATGTGACAAGATTCTGCCGATTGTGATCGATTGGAGAAGTCGAAGTCTAATCAAGCAGAAAAATACTGTATATATGATCGCATATAGGCAGATGTGAACCACATGTCTCTACGCGAGGAGACTATGAGCCTCTCTACACAGATAGCTGGAGTATTGCGTCTAGACCTGTTGCTTTCGGGTTGCTACAATTGCACGAACAATATTTTCGTACGATACTTCGCACTTACATAGATAACCAAAGAAGTTCATGTGTAGGGTCTCACAGCAAGCGAGCCATCTGATTTCCTCAATTGATAGTATTCTTGCTGATATGAGAATTTTGGATCAGACTATGGCAAATTTGCGTCGATAACCCCGCCGACTAGACACTTTGGTACCTCATCACAGAACAAAAGCAAAGTGATGTTTCCCTTCAGCTACAGTCGGGCGACATGACAACGATGGGACCTTGTCGAGCCCTTACAAATGATAACTTGACACAATCAGACATTCATTCATCAATACAGTAACGGCTTGTTATCGAAGTGAACAGGTTCATACGGCCTGAGTTACTTGCTCGTTGTCAAGAGCTGTTCCTCCGATCTCTCCAAAATTCTCTATCGTCCATCAACATAGGTGACTTTTTCCTTCCTTTACAGAAGACCCAACTCTATAAATCACACGTACACTGACAAAACTGGGCTCCGACATCAACGCCACTAAACCAAACAAAGCTCCAACAATCACGACTCCTCGACATTCAACTCCCGTTGGCTCAACACGCTCTCATAGCAGAAATCACTCATTGCCCCCTAAAAAGGGCAAGCAAGGACGGACGTGGACAGCTGACCACACTACCCAGTGGCACAGTGACCGCGCGCCATCAGAGATCATGTAATTCCAGCCAATCAGAACCGAACCCAAGAACCTCTCCCATTTTGCCCCCTTCAATGCTGACACTGAAGGCGAGTCAAGTCTCGAGCTACGCGTTGGATAAATTACTATGCAGGGGAAGAGGACTTTTCTCAACTGATGTATGCGTGGCCTCTGTATCGCTATTGCTGCCACTAGGAAAAGTACTTCCACTAGGCAACCACATCCCCCTCTGCAGCAGGTAGGTACCAGTGGCGATGTAGAGTAGTAAGGATGGTGTACCCAGGTGGACTTTAGGACTATCCCCGGGGCTCGAGTAGTCGTTGGCGTTTGGTAAATTGCCAAATATTTTATCTCTCGTCCACGAGGACACCAGAGTCTCAGCAACTGGTTGTCACTCAAGGGATCAACACGTCTGCAACACAGGGGGCGGAGGAGGCCCGAAAGCCTACTGGGCCGTTTTTCCACCGGCCGTTACAGCATCCTCGCCTGTCGCGGAGAGACGAGCACCAACAGAGTATAGTCCACAGCACTCAACGCGGTTCATGTCCCCGCCTGGCCCTTCACCAATCGAGCTCAGCGTCCATTCTTCAGACCGCTATTCAGCAATGCACACACACGCACGCACACCTGCCTGCATGTTTCCCCCCTCCATCGTCCCGGGCATCTCACACGCCCCGATCGCTTCAACTTGTGAGAGATGGCCCGCGCAAAGTATTCGGCCCCCGCTGATCGCCGAGGATGTACATAGACCATCCCGCCTCGGCGGCAGATCAGCCCGGATAAAAGCCCAGACAGGGCCAGGGTTAGAAGGGAGAAGCTGATGAATGGGGGTCGCTGGTTGGGCAGCGGCGCAACTGTACCAACGGGCCACTCATGCGAGGAGGGGGGGGGGATTCATCATGCAGACGTGCATGCAGAAGGAGGGGGATGGAAAAGAAAGAAACGTCCCCCGAAAAATGACCCCTGACTGCATTGCAAATGCCTCCCGTTGCGTCCCCTCCCCTCGGGTCCTGTCTCCACTGCTCGAGAACATCTTAATTCAGGGCTGTGCTTATGTCAGTCTGTACCCCACGGGGGATGCGTACATGGGGGACTTTTGGGTCAGCGGGGGTCGCTTATATCTTGCATGCACACATATGTACATGGGGCGTTACAAGCATTCCATGCAGCAGGAGGGCGCGCGTGCATACACATACACAAACGCAGGCGACACGCACACCGTTCCCAAGTTTAGCCGGCGACCGAGGAGGGTGTGGTGGTGGGGTGGGGGCCCGGCGCCGACGAGGGCCAGGGCGACAAGAGAAGAAAAGGACGGGGGCGCGCGGCCGGGCTGGCATCTGAATCCGCCGCACGTGGTTGACTTGATGGAGGGTTGCCGTTCCCTCTTTCGGAGGACCGGTGACGAACTCGGACGAGGGCCCCGACCTCCAACATCCTTCACGTTTCAACCCCGGGTCACTCGCCACCACCACCTCGGGAACCGCCCCTGACCACCCAGTGCAATTGCTGGCTGGAATGCTTCCCCGGGGACAGCCTCCAACACCGCTCGCCTCAGTCAGCACCTGGGGATTGGTACTCCACCTCCCTCTCTTTTGGCGCGATGGTTGCATCGCGAGCTTTTACCCATTGAATCCCAAATCTTGGGACATTCCCGTTTTCCAGTGTGGATGGAAGGATGATCTACTGCATCAACCGAAAGTGGCAGAGACACGCAATTGATGTGCTGTCGGCCCTGCCTGGCGGCTGAGCCAACCTCCAGGGACAACATCTTGAGCACTGCACGTGTCTCCTCGCCGATGTACCTACCCCAGAATTGATTGAGACACGGGATCTCATCGACTTTTACCCCAGGTTATTACATCCGTTTTCAGACTCCGATAAGTCTCACGGCCGGAAAGTGCAGATCTCGTGACGGGCAAGGGCACAGAGACGACCCGAAGATTTGGATTGCTGAACTTCAGCCGGGGCGTGCGTGACTTGGCCCAGTAGGGCACCGAGACGTCATCGTAACCATAGTCATCTCCCTCTGCCTGACCTCTCACGAGTCTCTTCGCAAGTAGTGGGCTGGCTGATTCAGCAGCAACCCACCTCCCTGGCCTCACTTACACACAATTACGCCAAACATGACCACCCGCGACTCGAGCTGACATGTCTATTCTCCCAAGGACGCCCACTTTTTACGTGCAGTGGTCTTGCATGAACGCCATTGCTTACGGTGGGGGTTCTGGTTACGCGATCTGGTGAGGCGAGATCCTTTTGCGCGTTGGCGGCGCCCCTAGTCACACGAGCGCCCACGCTCCCGGGACAGCTTGCTTTGGCGACGTGGGACAGTCGAGGTCTGGGCGATCATGGCACCAAAGACCGCTGCTGGGTTATAAGCTCGGGAATCGAGCAGCGGCTTTGCGGGAGCACGAAGCGGGTCACAGTTAGATGTGCACCGAAATTCTGCCGTTGATGTGCCCCTTCCTTGGGAGGAGGATTTTGACCGGTGAGGAAAGTCGAGATTCTGCACAGGCTCTTGGACGTAGCGGAGAGTCCCAGTCGTAGCGTGTTAACCACTCGGTACACCCGTGGAATATGTGGGTGGGATGCTTTCGGTGTATATCTCGGATGTAAATCGACCGTCATCCAGGTCTCGGCTGATGACAGCCACGCAGAGGGATGGTGGGAAGCCCCCATGCAAGACGGGCCGTCAACCGCCTTGCCCAGAAACCAGGCTTGCATATCGCTTCGCACGCGACCTGCCATCTACCGCCACTGGACCATAGGAACAAAGCCCTCAGATGTGCGGCCCCAGTTGACGGAAGCCTCCCAATCCGTGAGCTACCAAGCCGCTTGAAGGGAAGGGTATTGTAGGTCAACAGAGTATATCTCCGTTTCTGCCGTACCGTTTCGCAGTCCGTGAATTCGTTTCAAGGACAGACGAAACAATAATGTCCATCACCTGCTGCTAAGATCAGCCCTACTCTTCTCCAAAATACGGATGTTGCCAGTTTGATCTGCAAAGTGTCCACCGCAGGCGCTCCACGCACTAAAACGAGCGAGGACGCCAAGCTGCCGCCGACCACGCTTGCAATTTGACAATGCTCCCCGAGCTGGGCCGGTGGGGCCGCCGAAATAGCCTAGAATTTGGAGATTGACTGGAGGAGCATGAAGCAAAGAAGCTTGTGAAAACGGTAGCAAATCTTAAAATGGTAGCAGCTGTACCCCAGGTTTTCGGCCATTCTGGACAAAAATAACCGCGCTGGTCGCTGGGACCGTCTGTCTCCACACCACTGCCAGGACTGTGCGCAGCTGTCTTTCAGCGTCAACCGCGGGGCGGCGGTCGGAATCGAAGCAAGCCTAGACGCGAAAGAAAGAGTCATTGACGGTCTCAAATAGACATGTGACGAAGTCTCTCGGTCGAATTTGGACATCTGAGAAAAGAAGAACACTAATGATGCGCCTTGCTGGTCACAGGGCAAATGAAGGCGCAGAGCAGAGCGCGGTGTCATGGCCCTCTACGGTAAGCTCTGGCGTTCTTGGGAGGTCAGGCTAGCGAGGGGCCCAGGTGCTTGTGCCTGAGCGCTGCCGCACTGCGTACAATACACCGCAGTCTGTGTCGTACCATAGGCCACGGGGTAGTCTAGCTGAACGTGCCTCCCCATGGGGGAAGAAACGCGGAGCAGACACCGCCTGTAGTATGGCCAGTTCGCTCTGCCGGCCGTGCGTACGACAGCTCGGAGCCGCAGATGAGGTCACTGTGATGCGACTTTCACATGACGGTGACCTTCCAGAGCCTTTCATGCCCGGCCACGTAAGATCTTGCCGCGACACATACATGTCGGTGAACGACCTGGATTGTGTCTTTGAGTCAGCCATCCGGGGTAGACGAAGACGCATGAACCGCGCAGGACGCTTGTTCTGTCTGGGGTAACAAGATGGAATTTCCGCTTCGCATGTCTGCTTCGCATGTGAAAGTCGTGAATCGTCAGTGCTGGGTGCCAACGCACTGGTTGCAAACACTACCGTCAGTTTCAGCGGTCGACTACCCCGTGGGAGCCTTGTTAGTCGTGTGAGGTCGCAATGCAACGCGGCTATCTGTGGAGAGTCAGGCTGGAGTCTAGGTGTGCCCACCCACCTGGACAGTCCGGCGCTGT